TATTGTAGACTGGGACTATAATCACGAATAAATGAAAAATCACTTATCGCAGAATATGATAATTCCTTTTTTTTCCAAGAGACAAAATGGCTAGCGTGCGATTATTAACGATTATAATAGATACGAAATTCAGATAATTGAAGGGAACTGCATAATGATTTGACAGCTTTTTTATTTCCTCAATTAAACTTTATTTCTTGTAAAAAACACAAAAATTATCCTTTCAATTATTTTTTAAATTCTTCTTACTATTAAAAAGAGCAGAATATGATTTAAGAAACTATAATTAAGAAACTATAAGAAAAGTGCGATATATTTTTAGATAATAAATTTTAAAGAGATCATAAATAAATCTATAAAAGTTATCCGCGTATTAAAAAAAATTTTCCTATATATATGCTTTTGTTCGTGTGTTTATTCTTGGTAATGCATTTAAAACTGTGTGTGTACAAAGTATACTTTTAATCTATTAAATTGTAAATATTGCTTGGAAAACTGGCGATTGTATATACCGACAAATCATGAACTATGAAGTCCTCTAACGTTGAAGTGAATGAAGATGGCGTAATGAAGACGGGCTCCACAAAAATTTCGGATCTCTCGAGCTTCTCTCTAAGCTCGAGGAGAACAATAGGAAAATGCGCGTACGTACGTATTTACTATTTGCCCGATTTGCCGCTTGATTAAAATTACGGCGCAAGACGGCCGTCGAACGGTGGAGTAAATATTTTATTTGTACGTGATATAATATCGAGCGGGATTATATATAGCGAGCGTCACACAACACGAACATGAATCCTGCGGAAGCCGAAACTATTGCTGACCTGGTTCAGAATATGATTATTTCTCTGTGCGGCGAACAAAAGCCAGGTTAGTTTTCCCAAAGTTGTACCACTGCCGAAGATTTTATATTCAGAAAAATTCACGATATGTCATTTCGCGCGAATTAATCGCAGCGTTATTTATTTTAAACAATGCAACTAGGCGTTGTTAATGTCTCGTCGTATTTCTGTTAATAAAGCAACGTTTGCACCGTACTACGATTGTATTGTATGATAAGCTTTTTAAAAGTATATATCGTATAACCATTTTAAATATATTTGAAGAGAGTTAGAGTAAGAATCTCTGGCGGACGTTTTTCATAAAATCTGATTATGCGTTATTAATATGCTTCAATAAACGAGTCTACTCAAAAAAGTCGTTGCTCGCGTCTGATTTAACGAGGAACGTCGAATGACAGATGTAAAACGTCCTGAGACTCCTGAAAATTTAATTAGCTCCGAGGTGGCGCACTTTGTCTCTGCCATATCTGATGCTCTTTAAATCGCTTTAAATCCAGACGCGAGTAGTGATAATCTTTTTGAACAGATTAGAATTCTGGTGTACATACATAGTGCCCTGGAATTGTTGATTTAACAGTTCAGATCTTTTAGGACATTTTTCACAAGTAACACATAATAACACATAATTTTGCAAATATCACCTAACATGTGATAACATAACATAATAAAGATATGCAATACACAAGCTACAACATATTTTTCATGTCTTTTAGAGTCGATCAGAAGATTTATGCGTTTTTCCCTTGGCTTATTGTCGTCTACTCAAGGCATAGAAACATTGAGAGAGGATGAAGTGACTGTAGCAACGTATATAAAGAGTAAATTATCGCCACGTGATGCAGTGCAGTTTGATAAGCTGCACAATGATTTGAAAGATGGGGTACAAAATCTCCTGGTTTAAATCTTTCCATGTCTTTTGTTTCAATCGTATTCATTCATGTCTACTGTTTTAGATAAATGTTTTTGTATCAATCTTCTTTCTTTCATTAGCCACTGAAGAATCGTACGAGCGTTCTAATATTCGTACTGAACATGGGCCAGTCGGTGGAACAAATAAAGGACAAAATCTTTTTGTTTCCAGATATGAAATCGCAGTTAAGCCCAGTCACGTCCACTAGTGGTAAGATCAACGCAATCGACATTTGTCAAAGTATTATCTAATTGTTTCTTATATTTAGGACAATCGTCACAAACGTTATGTTCTCAAGCACAAGTTGTATCGTTAAATACCACAGAGACAAATTCGAAAGGACTATTAACGAATCCAAGTAAAATATTCAACGAGGAGTGCGTTTCAGAAGATGTACTAGTCCAGGACTTGATATATTCCTTTCAAAGTGTCGAAGGGAAAGTTTTAAAGTTAGATTCCAGCTATGGCTTTCAGATAGATCCCATAGCAAAAATTAATAGATCACAAAAACAAGCTGTTTTAAGACTAAGCGAACTGGGATACCTGCATAGCATAGTACGAAAAGGATTAGAGAGAATGTCTGTTGCTGGTGCAGGCAGAGTTACCGATAGTTTCGTTGCTGCGTTACATAAGGAACTGTCAGAATATTACAGATTCATAGCCATAATGCAAGAAGAGGTGAATAGGTAAGAAATTAAACATATAACAATATCGTATTTCAAAGATATAAGGTTCACAAAGTTGCATTAAGTATTTCATAAATCCAATAACGATATTTTTCTTGCTTGAAATACTCTTGAAGAATATTTACGATATAATATTGTTTATATTATAAAATAATATAAGGGTAACAATTGAAACAGATCACAAAATCAAATGATTACATATGGAGTTACATTGTCCCGTTTACATCTTTCCGCATGCGATCCGTTGGAAACTCTAAAGTGGTTAGCGAGTATAGTAAGAACTTGCCAAGGCCAGAAAGGTGGTGCATTAGCATCTACTGTTTACGAGTTCAGCTATCACGGGGATGTCATTGTGAAGAATTTAGTCAAAAGAGTTTTGGAAAGTGTTTGCAATCCCCTGTACAACATGTTAATGAGATGGATCGCTGATGGGGAGCTGGACGATCCGTACAAGGAGTTTTTTATTCAAGCGTGCAATGATGTTAGTGGCGACAGAATGTGGCATGAGAAATATCAAGTGAGAAATTCAATGGTGCCATCCTTCCTTAGTAAAGCACAAGCAAGGAAGATTCTAGGAACAGGAAAAAATATTAATTTCTTACGTGAAGTTTGTAAAGACTTTTCACCGTGGCAAGATAGACACGCAGATATGTTTAAGAATAGTGATGAGGAATATAATGGTTAGTAATAATGGATAGATTATTATTGTTACAAGATGATTTTAAAATTTATCGTTTTTTTCGTTAATATATTGAAAATATTTGTAAGTTATAAAAATCTTGGCTAATGTCAATTAGATTGTTATAGCTTCGTCAAACTTGAAAGGATATTTAATTCTTATATTATTCATTTTCTAGTTGAAATCTTTTTCGATATGGATCCAGACGGTCGTCTGCAAACTATGATGGATGCTGCTTATAAAGAAACTTCAACAAGAGTTGTTGAAATATTGACAAAACAATATCATCTGATGGATCATTTGCAGGGGATTAAGGGATATCTCTTGCTTGGCCAAGGCCACTTTATTCAACATCTTATGCACTTATTAGAGTAAGAATATTTCTTGTTAATGCAGCTAATAGTATTAATTGTATTAATATTTTTGCGTTTTAGCGTACGTATTCCAGATCTAAGAAATTGTCTCGATTATACATTTTAGGCCTGAATTAGCCAAACCTGCAAGTTCTTTATATCCTCATAACATGACATCTATACTTGAAACTGCAATAAGAGCAACCAGCACAAAGTTAGATGATTTAGATGTGCAAAAACGTTTAGATGTCAGACTATTAGCCCCTTCAGAAAATGAAACAGGATGGGACGTCTTTATTTTAGATTATAATGTTGATGGACCTATAGGAACGGTAAATACATTAATTGCAATATTTAATCTTTATGTTAAATTAACCTAATGAATCATGGTCAATAATTTATCAGATTTTGGAGCCATGCAGACAGACGTATCAAACGGTTTTCTTTGCTTTATGGAAAGCAAAGAGAATGGAGTCGATTTTATCTGCTATTTGGAAGCAACAGACAACGTCAGCGAAAATGTTTAGAAAAATGCCGGAAGTATTGCCCATCCAGAATCATATTCATTTAATTACTAGTAGTATGGTTCATTTGGTCCATCAAATGCAATATTATTTTTTATTTGAGGTAAGACCGTGTCACATTAAAAGCTATTATTAATGATCAAGAACCACCATTAATTTAATAATGGGCAATTTAATAAATGGGAACTGTTATATATTGCATATTGACAAATAAAAATAATTAAAGGTAATCGAATGTTCTTGGGATACATTTGCAAAGCAACTTCTGCAGGCGTCATCTCTTGATGATATAATTGCAGCTCATAATCATTTTGTTGATTCTGTACGACATGGTACATTATTGGATGAAAAATCGCAAGTGAGTATTAGATCATATTTATGACAATATATACGTATAAGAATGCACATTTTTATTACACATGCACACTATTTCCGATGTTACAGGAACTTATGGATCACTTACGCTCAGTCTACAGTCCAATACTAGATCTCCAAAATCTCGAGGAATCTTTCCTTGCGCGTGCTACACAGGAATACGAGGCAAGATTAAGTGCCGATAATTTTAGGCAGGAACAAACGAAAAAATGGGGTCGTACAAATAAAAAAGATCAAGAAATTGCAAAAAAAGAGGCAGCATTTTCAAAATATCTGAATACACTTTCAATACAATTGAGACTACTTTCGAGAACCTATCAGGTAATAATCAAATGGAATATTAATTCTGTTCTTCTAAGGCTTCATTCCGATATTCGCTATCAGTACTGAAAATCTATATTTTTCTATATTTTATGTCACGTATACTATGGATTTTCAGTACTAACAGTTGCTGACAGTAAATATCAATATTTTCCCATCCACATGATTTTTTTGTCGTAATAGAGCAATAATTTATATATTATTCCTTAAAATAAAATGTAAAGAGCAATTGCTTTTTTTTAAGTATATCTTTTCTCAAAAGAAGAAAAATATGTTTATTTCATTTTTAAAAGTATATATTCTTTCTTTCAGGATCGTGTGAAAAAATTTCTATTAATGCTTGCTTCCGCTGAAGATGTGTCGCTGCAGTTACTTAGTGTACGATTAGATTTTAATGAATATTACAAGAGTAAAGATAGCCGACTAGTTGTGCCATTAACATATCAACATCGCAGACAAAGTGATCAGACTTTCTTTGGATGCAAGTGACAATTGGCAGCAGAAATTTTATTTGAGACCTTTAACGATTCAAGTTACCTTTCAAATAAATGCTGTACCTCAACTGAGCAGAATCCATCTGACGTTAATAGTAAGGATACAAGCATATTTGATTTTTCCAACAATCGCCCTTCATTTTGTTCTTTATATTGATATCATGATACCACCAATTTTTTTTATAGACCACACTCATCCAAAATGACGACAGATGTCAATGACTCTGTCGCTTTGCACAAAAAAAGATGTAGAACCAATTTGAGAAACGCTGAGTTAAGGCCGTCCTCTACCTTCTCGGCTGTTTTTTTACGGCTTTTTCA